GGGGGTGGGGGATGATAGGGGGGGGAATGATAAAACAGAAGGGCGGGGTTTCCATCGGAGACAGGCGGGAGATGAGGCCAATCGGAACAAAAGAGAGAGAGGCTGGGATTGAAGCGTCTCGCCAATGCCGGTCCGCCGCTGGCAGAGCCGTGGAGGGGAGGCGGGGGCGGTTTAACCTCTGCGGCGGGGGCGGCGGCGGGGTGGGCGTGCGCGGGGGCCGGCTGCCGCCTCGGGAGGGTCCCCGCCGTGATGCGGCGTCACCTGGGTTACGCGCTGCGCCTCGCAGGCCCGCAGCTGCGTGGGAGGAGGGCTGAGATCGCCCGAGGAGGCGGTGGGATAGCGGGGACGTGCCTCGTCGAGGCTGGCTGCGGCACTCGCGCGGCGCGGCCGCGGCCCTTCCTCCGTCCCCGCTCGGTGCGCGCCGCGTACGGCGGGCGGGGGGCAGCGCTGCCGCTCCGCGCCGGAGCCGTGGACGCGCCGGGCTGCATCGCGCAGGCTTGTAAAGAAATTAATAAAGATATTATTGTTACGCTGTGACAGCCGGTCTAGCCGGAGCTGTGCGACACAAAGCCGCGTTGCTTACCTGAATATTTTGTAGAGAATTTAAAGATATTTCACTGCGGCGAAGGTTATTTCTGCTTACAAATCTCAAATTATTCAGGTGGAATATTAAAACCTTGTAGGATTCGGGGGGATGGGGAGGCATGGCTCGGGGAATTGTCTGTGCACCAGGAAAGCGTTTTTACTGTTTGACTCTGAAATTTATTGACTCTTTTCCTTTGAAAAAAGTCTCAAAACTGCTGAGACTTTGACGGTAGTGGTCAGTACTGGAGCATCAATTCCGTACAAAATTTAGGGACATGTGTTTATTGCGTTACACCACGCTCTGTGCTAAATTCGTATTGATGTGTGTGTGAGCGCGGCATGGCTGCTGACTCGATTCCTCCTAATACACGAGCTTAAAACCTGGCTGTTAGTGGATGAAATCCAATTTCCATTCTAAGCTCCCTGGGACACAGCCTTAGTTTTAGCAATCACTTACCATTAATACTGCCCCAAACAATTTTTATTACTTAAAATACACGCATCATATATAATATATAGCACATCACCTCTGCTTATAAATTACAGGTCAGATCGGTAATGCATTATAGGATATTAAACTGTGCACATGCTAACACATCTAAACAGGCTCCTGACCAAATGCATTCACAAATTAAGATCTCAATCCAGCACTACATAGGAAACTTCCAATGACTTCTTTGGGAATTGTTTCCCAGGAATCTGATATCTATCCTCTTTGCCAGCAGATGAAATAGATGCAGCAGATTCAGTAAAAATCTGATAGCATAAATGGTCAGAAAAATGATTGTATAAAAATGGAACTTTCTTACTCATCATATACCCCTTGTATCTAAGATACTCTGACTCATAATTGCTTAGTTTACTGACTGAAATAAAATTCTAGGCTTCTGTTACCTTGGCAGTTGCTGACACAATGATGGTACAGCAAACTGGGGACTGGTTGTAGCTCTTCCATTTTCTTTACTAAGTTACAGCCAAAGAATTTTATTAGTATTTGAGCCAGAAAGAGCACGGCATGACTTGTAAATCTCAGGTCCAGTTTGTAGGGTCATCAGTCCTAAGAGGCCTCTTTTTATTTGTAAACCAAGCAAATGTCTTGCAGAAACTTTTGAAGACAAAAATAAAAACCACGATGTTCGAATCAAGCCATCTTGAGTCAATTTCCGCAGTGGAACTGGATAAATTATAACACTGCTCTCTTTATCTCACTGACTATGTCCCATTCATCTGTAGCAACATTGAAACAAACAATTCTCTGGTTTTTAGACCACATCTGTTTTACTGTGCCCCCTGCACCAATTTTAATTATGTGACAGATCTGATTGGATTCAGCACCTGCAAGTCCTCCCTTTGGGATCTCCAATTAGCTTATAAAGCATTTACTTGATTGCATTCTTGAAACAAAAGTATTGTTTCATCCTAACAACAGAAATATTAAAGTGTAGAATAAAAAAAGGTTTTAACGTGATAAGTGTCTATGTTGTTTGTGTATCTAGCTTCCATAAGCTTAGAGGAAAAAGTGGTAATCCTGAAACCTAATTTCCTCAGACTCAGCAGATGTCTGTCCTGTGTTAGCCTGTTTCTTTACTGACAGCTGTTTCACAAGTGCCTCCCCTCGTCTCTACAGAATGCCTTTTGTTTAATGATTTCCCTCTACATTATCTCCCATCCCACTTAGACAAGCTTTTTCGACTTTTCTAGTAGTTTTAGAAGGTTTTTGTATAGTTTCAAGAAAGGCTTATATTTGAAAAAGCTAGCTTTAGCTAAGTAACTAACCTCTCAGCTAGTTTCTTATTAACAGTTCTAATTAACTAGGCAGATAGCTGCACGTAATCAACATTTGAACAAATAACGGTTTAGTATTAAGGGAAGTTTCAATTATTACAGCCATGCTTCAGAATATGCACTTTTTCGCCTTATTTAATTGCTTGGAGCAGTGATAATGAAGGTCTAAGGGGGAATATCACGTTAAGTGCAGCCCTCTAGTGGCAGAGGTCACTTGGAGTTTAAAGCAAGCTGGGTCTTTGTCATGGGTTGGGGCAGTGAAAGGAACAGCTTTTAGCAACATGCAGGCAACTGCCCTGCATTGTTCATGGTCTGAAGCAAGGCTGAAAATAGTTGTGGCGGCCTGTAATACCACCGTGCTCCCGCTCTGTTGTAATATCTGTGCAGAAAGTACTCATGGAAAATATAAAAAAGCATGTATCAGTAGAGTTTTCCTCTTTTTCCAAGTCTGTCATCTGTTCATCTTTTCTGTTTTCAAACAGCTCCAGACTGGCATACCTGACCAGAGGTTTTTCAAACAGTTGTGGAGTCTTGATTTCTTTCCTGTCTGTATCAGTCCTATCCTACAGTATAATGTATTCTGTAACTTCAGTAAGAGGTTGTTCAGAGATGACATGGAGTACAAATTCCATTTGCCAGCTTTATTTCTAAAATCATTCTCAGCTGATGGAGATATGGATGATAGTATTCAAATTAATCCCTCCCACAGACATGAAGCCTGTGCTTAGAATTGAAAGGGATTAGGAACTGGGAGAAATTAAGCATATATTTTAACAAATAGAAATCTGCATAACAACTCAGGTGAAGTTTTAGTAAACGTCACTTGATCTGATCAAGTCTACTTTGTGGAACAAGACTCAATCTCCTGTTTCTTTTAGAGGTGATGGATAGTTCTCATCTGACTAACAGGATGAGGAGCTCATTTTTCCCCTTATGGGAAATATGACAGAGTCCAATAATCATTAGATGAAAAACGATACCTCTTAAACATCCTGGCTAGGTAAAAGAAAACAGATTCTGTCTTTGTCCAAAAGGACTGGCAGCTTTTTATTACTGGATGGTTGCTGTGAATCCTGTAAAGTTTGGCTTTGCTAAAATTACAGTTAGTGAAACTCAGAAGTTTCTTTCAAGTCTTTAACATCCTTTTGTTTATGAAACTTTTTTTTTTCTCCAGTAACCTACCAGTTAAACTATTATTACTGTTGATTAGGTTATCCAATTGTTACTTGTTTAAATACTGCAGAATTTGTTCATCAGTAAATATTTTTTCATTTCAGTGGGACTTCTCCAAGCAATATTAACCTGAAAAAATCAAACCCAGCATTTGGGAAAAAATTTGAAAATGTAATATACAGAAAATGACACGATTATCTGATTTTCCACATTTACATTGCTTTTATTATCTGCATTATGTTGTATATATTGCTGAACTAAAAGCCAAATGTTAATAGTCATACTCTTCACTGAAAAGAGCATGGACAACTGCTAAACCTTTTCATATTGTAGATCATTGCTGAGTAGTAGCTTTCTTTTTCTGAGGATGATAACTTAAAATCAGTAAAAATGTGACTATATTATTTGTCATAATGTGAATATATTGGCTAAAATTCTTTTTCTGGTGGTGGAAGAAGGAAGTGTTAGTAGGAAATCCATGTTTTCTCTCTCAGCAGAGAGGTCACCTGTCTCCTATTCTGACAAAGTTCCTCAAAATTCACAGATCCTTTTTTTTCGACTTTTCTTCAGGAATAAGGAATTGAATTTATCTAAGTTCTTCATTGCTGAATCTGTAAGTCACATTTATAAGGGGTTACCCAGGGACTTACCCAGATCTCAGTGTAGAAAACAAGACAGCCTCAGGACAAGGTAATTTTCTCCTCTTCCAAAGAATTGACATTATGGATCTGAAATTTTCAGATATCTGAAGCTCCAGTGGCTCAACACTCCAAAAAATGATCCCCTGCTGATCTTTATGTACAGTAATTTAAAGACCTTTCATTTCTCAGAATGAAAAAAAAAATGACTAGGTTTCAGTTGCCTTCCAAAAATGGTAGTATATTCTGTCGT